GGGGGGGCAGAGGAAGAAATGCAAAATAATACAAGCCTTTGAAACATGAATCCACACAGTCATGACTAAACCTATTCAAACACTTAGGTCTTTTTTCCAAGACTGCTCTAGGCTCTAGCGTTGTTGTCGTGTGACTTGTTTTCTTTATGAACTAACTCAATTTGCCTCATCTCTTTCAAGGAACAGTTTCAGCTGCAAAACGCACAGGGATTCCAGCACCCCGGGAAATATCATCATCTGTATCCAGAGAGCGAGCCGTATTGCGTGGTCAAGCCAATACTAGGAAAACACAACCCAGCCCCACCTCTTCTGGTACACCAACTCCTACCAAACACGTGCGCCCCACTAGCAAGTCCAAGCAAGAGAATGAAACTGGTGACAAGGCTGTTCTGGAATCTCAGGTTAAAGAACTCCTGGCGGAAGCAAAGACGAAAGATTCCGAAATTACCAAACTCCGTTGTGAATTGAAGAAATGCAAAGAGAAAGGGTCACTTCATGCTGAAGGAATGGGTGCTTCCAACCAAAATTTAGAAACAGTATCACCTGTTGATATAGATCCATTAATACGGACCCTTCAGGAAAAAAACAGGACTTTTCAAAAAGAGCTTGCTAGCCTGGGAGAAGAAAATCGGGTTTTGAAAGAGAAATTACTTTATCTAGAGAACTCTCCTCTCTCAGACACAACAACAAGCAGTGGAGGTGACAGCAGCCTCCCAACCCCAACTACCCAAGAATCCAGTTTTGGAAGCCCATCAAAAAATGTGTCGAGAGGTGAAATGGATGAGCACAGGCAGCATGTGAATGGGGGTGCACTGCGCACTTCAGGTTCTTCCAGCAGTGATGTAACTAAAGCTTCCTTGTCACCTGATGCATCTGATTTTGAACACATAGCAGATGTACCTTCCAGGCCAACATCCTCCAACAGCAACCACTTCAAAGGTTCCAAATGCTCCACTACAGGAAGTTCTCCAAACAATATTAGTGACCTTTCTGTTGCATCTCTTACAGAGAGAATACAAAAAATGGAGGAGAATCACCACAGCACAGCAGAAGAATTACAAGCCACTTTGCAGGAGCTGTCGGATCAACAGCAAATGGTGCAGGAGCTGACAGCAGAAAATGAGAAGCTAGTGGAAGAGAAAGCTCTCCTGGAGACTTCCTTTCATCAACATAGAGATAGAGCAGAACAGCTGAGCCAAGAAAATGAAAAGCTGATGACTCTCCTCCAAGAGCGATCCAAGAATGAAGAAAGCAGAGCTCAGGAGGGGAAGGTCCTTGAACTGGAACAGAAATGCACAGAAGTTCTTGAAAAAGCACAATTTGAAAGAGAGAAATTGCTCAACATTCAGCAACAGTTAACCAGCAGCCTACGAAGCTTAGAAAGGGAGCATCAGGATGCCCAGCAGGTGATTAAAAGCCTGAGAGAAGAAAACGAGAAGCTGCTTAAACTTCTAGAAGTGGAACAGCAGAGCAACAGCACAGTGACAAAAACTCTGGAGGACTGTAAAATTGCCTTAGAAGGTCTAAAAATTGAGAATGGCTCTCTCAAAACTCAGTTAGAGAGTGAGAAACAAAAGGCCGCAGAAATCAACGCGATGGGATGTACTACTGACAGCTCCGAGGTGCAAGAGATGCTGAAAGTAGCCCATGCAGAGAAGGATCAGTTAGAAGCATCTTGCACTGAGCTTAAACAAGAGCTGCTGAAGGCAAACAGTGAACTGAAGCACATTCAGGGTCTGTTATCTAAGGTAGAGTAGTAACAGCTGTAAAATATAATGGTGGTTTATCTGTCCTTCCATAAATAGATAATTGTTGGTCCTTAGATTGTTACTGGGACATTGATTATAAGTTTCCAGGATTTAAGTTGCATTAATTAGTTTTGAATGGAAGCTGGGGTCATATGATATTGTCTCTGTTACTGCTGCTATATGCATATTGTCCACACGAATAACTGTTAGCATAGCTGTGTTTGTAAATTCAAAACTAATTTCCCCTAATATCTTCTGCAGAATTTACTATTTTGGTAAATAGAATTGTATTTATCAAAATTGGAGCAAGAGAACAGGTCAATAAAAAATTACTTCAGTATTATGTGAACAGCAAATATTAGTGAAAATCATGTGATAATCCAGATAGAGAGGGACATGAGTAGTTAGCAGAGTATTAACTAGAGAATATTAAATTCTGAATAATTAATCATGATTAATTAGTAGTGAAGTACAGGTGTCACTGGTCATGAGAACACAAGAACATGAACAAGTGCTCAGAGAAGCTGATATTTACAGCAACATGACTAATGATGCATGGTCAAGCTCCAGATAAGATTATTTTCATAAAATGAAAACATTTTTACAAAACTGAGAAGTATTCTGTTTTGGGATAGGTCAAGTAATGGCAAAAAAAATTGATTTATTTCAGAACAATTTTTTCTCTGCCTCTTTTGGTAGTCTCCAAGCAAGCTTAAGTCAATTACTGGTTCTATTTTCTGTGTGATTCTGGATGTTCAGGAAAGAGCTGCAATGTGAGGCGTCATAGAACCCGTGTTAATAAAGCACAAGCCAGTGATTATGTCCCACCACTGCAGAAAGAGTAATAGTCAGTGTGTGCAGCCTTTCCTGTATGGGGAAGGGATCATGAGAAGAATGGTGAAATGGGCTAGTTGCAGAGGAAGAGAGCGTTGCCAAAAAGCACCTTCATGATTTGAGTGATTTAGAAAATCCAGATGTCCTTTCAGCTTAAATAGGTGACCACAGCAAATGGAGTTAGTAGAGGAAGCTCCCAAGTGCTTGCTACAGCTGCAGTTTATGAAAAATAAATGAAAAACTGCTGAGTGCTCCGGACTCTGTACCAAACTTTTATTGCTTGGTTTTGAAACCACAGATTTCCTCCTTTTTACTCTTCCTTTCCCTCGAATTAAGCTGTTTTGAATCATTGGCTATTTGTGACACCCAAACAAGACCACAGGCTTCTGTAAGGTTGCCCTTCAGTCAGGCTGTGCCAGTGCTACTCACTGAATTGGCAGCCTACACCTTGCTTTTCCATAACTTGTTCATACTTAGAGATCTCCCCCAAACCTGGAAGCATAGATCTGTGGGTCTGAGCCAACAAACTGAAGTGCAGCAGATTCCCCCTTCAGTAATTCCAGATGTCCTATATCCAGAAAATATACTTATCTGCAGTAGCTAGCTCTACTATGTATGTTTTCACAATCCATTGAAAATGCAGATGGTAAAAGCAGTAAGATTGTTAATGTGGACAAACTGATTGTCATCTTGGCCCTAAGGCAGTGATACCACTCTCATAACATAATACATGAATAGATGTGGAGCTTTCCAGGAATAGCATTCCTCTCTGTTCATTACCTGCAGAGATTGGTTTGGAATTATGGTTATCATACAGAAAATGTAATTTCCTTTCTAGCATCTTGGTTTATTATCTTTATGACTAGGAAAGAAAACTGACATTCATAGCTCATCTGTGTTTCCTGAAATTCTCATTAGCATTGAAACTCAGGTTATACAACGCTTAGAACACAGTTCAATTCTTACAGTCCACGAGGTGCCCGGTAAAATCTCGAATGAATGGTACCTGTTAAGAAATAAAGACAGACTTGCAGCTTGCTTTCCTCTGTTCCAGGCTGAGAATGAGTGTGGTCAGCTGAAGGAGGTGTGTGACCGGCAGGCTGAGCAACTGAGCAGAACCAGCCAGAAGCTGCAGGAAAAAACATCAGAGAATGAAGCAGATATAAAAAACCTGAAGGAGACCATTTTCGAGTTGGAGGACCAGGTGGAACAACATCGTGCTATAAAACTGCACAATAACCAGCTCATCAGTGACCTAGAAAGTAGGTGGAGCTGAAAAAAAGAGGAGTTAAGTGAACTTATTCTGGAGGCTCATCGTGGCCGCAGTGGGGAGCGGGAGGCACCTCTCGATGCGCGACAAGCGCCGCGCGTCAGAAATATTCCCATTTTGGCCAGTCCTTTCCGTTCGTGCACAAAAGCCGCTATTCTACCAGTTAGTGCTATAGAAACAATATTGGAGACAGTCACCAAGCCTCATTCTGCAGCGAAGGGTGCAGTGCCCGTTCTAGAAACGGGAATTCCTGGCCTTTGGAAGAGCTTTTCGGGAAAAGCCCGGGGAGCGCCGCG